AAAGATAAGCATAAAATCTTTAGGTCACATCGGCAAAATTTCAGATTCCCAGTTTGGTTAGTTCCCGAAATTGCTTCTTGCCAGTTTTTTTCTCTGACGTATTCATGCATGAAAAACAGGCGCAAATGAGAGCTGAATTTAGATTCTTTGGACTGAGCCTGAATGAAGAACATCCCCGTAAAATTTCAACTTTCTACCTTGTCCAGTCCCTGAACTGAAAAACGTTTCTGCAGTTTTAAATTCCAAATATCTGTACTTGAAATGTATGTGCATATGAGTGTTTAGACATATGTCAAGGCAAAACAAACTTAAGAAAATGCATCCTCTTAAATCACTCCAAAAGCTTTATGTCGTTATCGTGAAATAACATTTTTATCTTTTAATACTCTAAAAACTTTAATTTTTTTTCTCTAAATAATCGTTTGCGTATGAATCCCTAATTCGGCACTTGAAGCTTTTCATGGGTTTGATGAATTTTTCTGTAATGCTAAAAAGCGATGGGATTTCCCCGCCAAACATTGTCAAACAATTCATCCTACCTCGCCGCCCGACGAACTGTAATAAACCCTCGCCTCTGAGCTTTGAGAGTTGAATTTATTTTTACAGAGCCGCATATGAACCCGAAACACCCTTCTAAAATTTCAGCTTCCTAGCTTCTCTGGCTGTTGAGTTGAAAATACGGAACAAAATTCGAACAAACACAAAGGCATATACACATGCACATAGGCACAGCCACATACGTGTATGTATATATATACGCATAAACACGCACAAATATATATATATATTTCCCCCCACGCAGACAGAACTTCTCAACAATATGCGATTTTTTATTTCATTAATCACGCATAAATGCGAACTGATCGAATTCGAAACTGATACGTGACAAGTGCAGCGTTAAAAAAAACGGTCAAGGCAAAACCTAGGAAAGCTTACGGTTCGATTGGTTCCAGGGCTCTTAAACCCCAACCCTTGACGCCAGCATCAAAAGTCTCCACTTTCGCATATTGTTTCTGAAAATAAGACATTTGCGTCTCCTTTACTGG